GATTATTTGCTCAGCATACAGGTTGAATACATATGGTGAAAGAATACAGCCTTGTTGTCGCACATCTTTCTTAGTTCGAACACCTGCCGCTTGTAGCTGACAGCAAAGTCCCCATGTACCACCCTTTTTCACAAACATTACCACCACATGAGAAGAGGGACCCTCCCAATTCTTCTTAAAGATAAACATCAGAATTTACAAGAACTGCTTGCTTCTGTGTCTCTGCCTCTAATTTAGCTCCAGCATATGAAGCTGGCCAGTCATCAGCTATACTGTATGTTGTACCAACATGTCCTCTTGCAACAGTTTGGGGAGAGTTATTGGGAGGGGTTTTTTATTGTTTTTGTATTTTATTACTGTTCTGGCATTTGTTCTTTAGGCACAGATTTAATGCTAATACAACTAAACAATCCTATCTATTTAACAAAAAATACCTCCAAAGCAGTATGGAACACAAGTATATATGACACCTCAGAGTGCATTGTCATAGAATCTGACCTATAAATAACATATATAGTCATTGAGAGGAAGTAGTTCTTCTTATTCAAAGGCAAAGGCCTATAAACCACAGATTGATAACATGTATTACCCAGATCCAGAATCCTGCTGTCATACAGTAGGATAAAGTACTGGACTGCAAGGTCAGTGGTTCAAACTCACCAGCTACTCCTTAAAGAGCCTATCAGAGGGTCACTATGAGTCAGAACCAACTCCACAGCACTTAACAACAACAACACAAAGCCAAATAGGTGACAATGAAGATTAATGATTTGATGGTTAAAAACATTAGTTTTCAAAAGAAAAAAAAAGTTGAAATACTTACTATAGTTGCCACATATTTTATTTAAAGTTGATTAGATTTTACATGTTTTATAGGCAACCAAGATATTTTTAACGTGTCTGTAAATTTCCAAATTAAAGTCTAATTTTTAGAAGCTACAGATCTATTTCCTACTTATTATTTCAGCTAAACAAGTAATGTAAAGTCAGAATGACATTTTTGATGGATAATTTACATAGTATAATTTTTTTAATTATTAAAGAGTTTTAAAAGAACAATAAGAAACAATCTACTAAGCACCAATTAATACCCAAACTCTCCACTTTCATTATTTATATTGGGAAATCACAGTCTATCTGGTTACGGACAGATAAAAATATGAGAGGGTAAACATCCCATTTCCCACACACTCCTACCTGTTGTCTGCCCATCACCACCTATTTCCACCTTTAGAATATGCAGAGAGGCACCGAAGTTAGGCTGGGAAAAGAAGTAACAGTGTTAACACTGTTCTTCATCATGTGAAGAACTCAGCACTTCAAGACAATTGAGATTGACTACCTCTGGTTTTCACCTGAGAAAGCCAAAGCAAAAGTTCCAGTGGAAACTGATACACCCCCCCCCACCCCCGCTTCTATTTTAAATTAGAATTGTGACGCTGAGAGATTCTATTGATGACCTTCTCCATACAATTTCTAAGATATCAGAATTACTAGTCGATGGTTAAATGTTTATTACCTTAAAGAGATAATCCAGTATTTGAGAACGATAGGGCTCTCGGTAATTTACTAGAAGTCGGGAGGTTGCCTAAAAAAAACAAAACACGTTCATGAATAGGAAGGAATAAAGCAAGTGCAACCACGAACACTTTTTCATAGTGCACATCCTCACCATCCCATGCCCACGTTCAGCCAAGGCCTGGGAAAGCTGCGATGTGGAAGTCACTCATTAGGTTGGGTCTGTGTCTATCTGCCTTTCTTTTGCCCATCATCGGGCAGGTGGCGTTATTGTTTGTTCATAGCTAAAGGGCAGGTTCTCAGTAAATGTCCCTTCTGCTGGGGTGAAGGTTGGTTGGGAGTTAAGTTTGATACCATAACTAAGAGACTATTAGAAAAATTAAACAGGTTTTCTATCATACGGCCATTTGTCAATAAGAATATCTGGGCACTGGGATGAAAAGGATGAATCTCAGCTAATTTTTCCCCTCCACATATTGCATGAAAATATTATTAAGCAGAAATGCTAAAAGGAAGCCTAGTTTCCCTCTGCCATTTGAGAGATTGTTGTTGTTGTCATTGTTGTTAAATGCTATTGAGTCAGTTCCAACCCATAGTGACCCTGCATAGGGTTTCCGAGGAGTAGATGGTAAGCTTGAACTGCCAACCTTGCAGTTTAAACGATTTTGCAGTCCGGTGCATTAACCCACAGCATCGCACCAGGACTCCTAAGGGGGTATAGAAGTACTATCAATGAATTAGTACGTCTGTAGGATAAACACTGGACTGCAAACCACAAGATCAAAGGTCTGAGCCCACTAACAGCTCTGTAGGAACAAGATGAGACTTTCTGCTCCCATAAAGAATAAGGGAAAGCCTTTGTTGTTGTTGTTAACTGTCATTGAGTCAATTTCAACTTACAATGACCCTGTATAGTTTCTGAGGAGTGACTAGTAGATTTGAAGTGCCAACCTTGAGGTTACAAGACCAGTGCTTAACCTACAGCATCACACCAGGCCTCCCTTTACAGATGATTCGGTAATACTTAACAATCAATGAATCCGGGGGCTCAGGGGTGCTATAGGATAAGCACTGGACATTGAGCCTCCTCCAAGGAAGAAATAGGAGGCTTTCTGTTCCCTCAAAGATTTACAGCTTCAGAAACCATATATACAGTAGCTATGTACGGTAAGCATTTGGCTGCAAACGTCGAGGTTGGAGGTTCAAACCCACCAGCCACTCCTTAGAAACCCTCCTTGGAAACCCTAAACCCTATAAGTTGGAAACAACTAGACCAGAACTGCACTTAACAATAACATGGGTCAGAAGACTGGAAGGTATTAACAAACACATCAATAGATTATGAATGACCACACAGTATTCGGAGCTTTGAACTGGTTCATTCTGGTCCTACCTCCTGCTGAGAGTTTGCGCTTCTGCCCAATGCCACCAGCTGATTCGGAACATAGTAGAACCAGCCCACAAGGTTTCCAAGGCGGCAACGCTTTACAAAGCAGACTGCCTTACCTTTCTCTCACAGACTGCTGGGTTCAAACTGCTGACTGATGGGTAACACTTCAACCACTGCATCCCCAGGGCTCCTTCATTCCCACCCCAAAAGACTGAATCAGAATATATATTTTAACAATTCTTATGTGTACATAAGAATCACCCGGAGATTGTGTTAAAAAGTAGATTCTGATTCAATATCCGGGGTGGAAATGCAAATTCCCAGCAGGGATTGAACCAGAAGAGACTGATTCCAAGCCCTGACACTAATCCTTAGGCCAGGCTGTACTAAGGACACCTCACACAAGACTGGCATCAGAATACATGGGAGAAACAAGACCATGGAAGGTGCAGGACTGAACTCAATCAGACCTGATCAAAGAAATCTTAAACCCCACACTGGCCAACAATGGATCTTATGAGGAGCAATACAGCAGGGGAACAAAAAGAGTAGTTTTTACAACAAGGAAGCATAGGATGACCCTAAGCCTGAAAGCCAGACAGCCCCTAGGTTCAAACCACGGAAACCCTGTCAGGTGTGAGACAGGAGCAAAAGATTTCATTGTACGACACTCAACTCTTCTTTATGCACCAACACACGCCACCACTGACATTCTGGTGGTGGTGTTGTTAAGTGGCGTCAAGTCAGTTCCGATTCATAACGACACTGTCCAGGGTTTCCAAGGAGCAGCTGGTGAGCTTGAACCGCTGACCTTGAGGTTCAAACCGACTCTGCAGTCCAGCGCATTAGCCCACACCAAATCTATTTCCCTCACACTGAGAATTTCCCCAAGCTCTACCACTAAGCTACAGGGCCAATGGAACTGCTTTCTAGACACAGTAAATTCAACCTACCCCCACACCAAACGTTGTGTACTGATCTGCTCCTTTCTCTGCATTTTCTATCTTAAAGATAAAGAATGTATCTGCCTAAACCTTAAACTTGAGAAGGCCTGGGAAAGATGGTGGACTAGGCAAACACATGACATACTGGACTCCCACAACAAAGACATGAGACACCAAATGAAACAGATACGGATGATAACCCTGTAGCCCTGAACTTCAAGGTAAAGAAGTGGACTCTATGCTGACTGACTAGGAGAAGCGGAACAGGAACAGTGAGAGAAGAGATAAGTGGGTGGTCCGTCAGCTAGCCTGATGTGGCGTGGCCATCTTCAACTTTCTATAAGCAGCATTCATTCCGTTGAGACAGCAACTGAGTGGCAAAAATACATACCAATGACTGGTCATGGGAAAGGTGTGGTTCACATTTGCTTCCCACACCATCCAGGTGACCAGACCTGTCATCAGCCAGCACCCTCACCCACTCAGCAGCAGGGGCCGTCTCCTCCTGCACCACATCATCTCTGGCTGAGGTCAGAGCCACACCTTTGTGGGTCAGGTGTGGGGTTAACCACCCCAGCATCTGGAGGAGCATGATTACATCTCCTCTGACTAGCAGAACGCAAGGTGCTAGACACCACCCAGAAGTCAGATACAGAAGTATCTAAAGTAAAACAAACCTGCTAGATTGAAGATAGGAAGCCAGAAATATCAATCTGTAACAAGAAGTCATAAAGCAACAAGAGGGAAAAGTGCAGCCAATTTCCAGATAGAAGAGATTCTTTAACTCATGGAAACATTAATACATTACGGGGTAGCCTCAAAGAACATCGATAAACTGTCTAAAAAAAAAAAAAATTGAAACTCACAAAGATTTTGTTGTTGTTGTTGTTAGGTAACATCAACTTGGTTCCATCTCATACCAACCCTACCCGCAACAGAAGAAAACACTGCTTTTTTTCTGGTCCTGCTTCTCTCTCCTAACTGCTGTGACATTTGAGCCCATTGCTATTTCCACTATGTCAATCTGTCTCACTGGGGGTCTTCCTCTTTTTCACTTACCGTCTACTTTACCAAACATGATATCCTTCTCCAAAGACTGATCCTTCCTGATAACATGTCTGAAGTATGAGAGAAAAAGTTTCATCATCCTGGTTTCCAACGAGCATTCTGACTGTATCTCTACCAACACAGATCTGTTTGTTCTTCCGACAGTCCACGGTGATTTTACTGTTCTTCTCCACTACCATAACTCAACTGCATCAATTCTACAGTCTTACTTATACATTGTCCAACTTTCACATGCTTATGAGGTATAATCCTTACTGAAGGTTGTGTTACCTGCATATCCTAGATTGCTAATAGTCCTCCCCCAATCATGGTTATATTATTCTTCATATAATCCAGTTTCTTGGATTATTTGCTCAGTATACAGATTGAATAATTAGGATGAAAGAGTACATCATTAGTGCACAACTTTCCTGATTTTAAACTATTCAGTATCCACGTCTTCTGTTCTAAAGACTGCTTCTTAGTCTATGTACAAGTTCTTTGTAAGTGCAGCTAAGTGTTCTGAAATACCAATTCTTCACAATGTCATCCTTAGCTTGACCTCATAAAAATTTAATAAACTCAGTTGCTCCCAAGTTACTATGGCTGGGTAGGGGTCTTTCCCAGGCAGTCCTGAGCTGGTGAGCCATGTCTTTTACTTCCTTTGGTACTTAAATAAACTCAAAATAGGGCTGTTAGGCTGGTGTGGCACTGTAGGATAAGTACTGGATCACAAGGTCAGTTTGAACTACAAGGTCAATAGTTCAAACTTACTAGCTGTTCCTTGGAAACCCTACACAGGGTTGTTATGAGTCAGAACTGACTTGACGGGCATTTAACAACAACAAACGCTGTTAGGAGGGGGTGAGTAGACCTACACCTCAGTATCCTGCCAAGAGGGGCTGGGAAGTGCTCCAGGAGTTGGGCAATGGGAACAGAGCCACAGGGCCATGGGAAGTGAGGATCTGAGTCCTTGCAGATCAGTGACAGCAGAAAGGGGCAAGAGTGAGGGAGGCCGGCAAGGGGTGGCTTCGCAGTGTCTGAGCAGCCCCTCTGCACCAAAGACAGGGATGAACAAGTGTAATGGGTACAGATGGTGCTCCTGGAATGCCAAGCTTCAGAAGACAAGACAGACAGGTGCTGACTGGAAGAAGAAGCTGAACCGGTTCAGCAAGAGAAGAAAACCAGGCAGGCTACGATAGACAGGTGTGGAGCGCCTCAGCCGTCCTGAGCTGTGCCAAGGGCCTGCTGATAGAGAAAGCTGGGGGCACAGGACCAGGCTAGAGGTGGGAGACCAGGAGGTGCAGTCTTCTCTTACTCTCTTGCCTCTTGGTGGATGAGGCATGGTCAGTCCCCTCTCACCAAGACAGCAACCAGCAGCATCCCTCCAGCCTCTGCCTGGGGGCCTTCCTGAGTGCATGAGCCCACCCTGAACTACACAACACAAACAGAACACTGAGAACTCTATTGATGTTCCCTTTCAGTCTCTACCACATCCACCAGCAGACAGGTAGTGAGTGCCTGAGAACACATGAAGGTGTAATCATCCATTATATAAATCTAGTGACACACCACGTCAAAGAGAAAACAATTTCAGCTTACACAAAGAAACAAGACAGAGTGTCTTAAGCAAGTGACCAAAATACAGAATCAGAAAATACACTATCAGAAATGGAATCAAAACTACTT